GCACAACTGCCACTTACTTTCAACAAAAAGATAATCCTGCAGAATATTCAATACGTCCTCCATGCATTCCTGAAATTCTCCCTGTTCCATACCTTCTTGGAGGTACCAGTGTATGAAGGCCTTTTTAGAAAGAAGGACCTTAAACTTGTGCAAATTTGCCTTCAGTGGGCTGACAATGAGGGTTGAATTGTAGAGCGCGGTTAGCTGTCTGTTTGTTTTGCCGATTCCACTAGCTTGGATGACGGCAGGAAGGGTCGGCACGACACCTATCTAATCAGAAAGGAATCGTCAAGAAAAATAACCAACAACGAGTATGAGGTGCTCAATTTCTGAGGTTTTCTTGCGCTGCCAAATAAGTATGGATATGCTGAAGGGATTTCTACCTTTCTCATGTTTTATAAGGAATCCACGAAGGCTGTATATAAGTTCGATCAGCTATGGGCTTCAAATACTGGCGTGTGAAATTGACAGCTCGCTCCGCGAATCAAACTTCAATTATTTCCATAGGGGTGTCTTTGGAGGCCTTAGTTGTCTTTCATTTATAACAATAACCTACTTTTCCAGTATTACTAACCGTACTTTACCTTTTTCTTTAAACTCCGCCAACATAGGGATGAATTTCCATTAAGGCACCAGTTGCTTGCGTAACAGGAGTTTATGTCGATGGAGTTCATTCTATTTGGTACATTAAAAAAAATATGAGTTTCTTTAATTTAACATTTTTCATCATCTCCAACACTAGTAAATAGTCATTTACACTCGCTAACCAAGAATAAAATGTTTAACCACAAATTACTTAAGAAAATTGAGTTGGGGGAATGGATACTTAGGCTGCCATAGAAGACAGTTTTGTCATTTTTTAAGCGATATTTTCCTTGAAATGCTTTTTTATCTAAGCAGATACCCCTGATGGATTATAACCATAGGCGAACCCGTTGATCTAACTTTACGGAGTTCTGCAAACATATTAACGAATGACGTTGTTGAACGTTGCAAGGACGGCGAACAGGTTGAGCATTTGTCCAAGTTCTTTCAGTCGGTTTTTACGAGAGAGCCCTATCTAACCGCTGATGACTTTGGTGAAGATGAGATCCCGGCAATCGATTCAATAATATGCAAGAAAATCCGAAGCTAAAATAAACAAAATCATCAGGCACTTATATAACCTCTACAAAAATGTTGAAGGATTCAGCCTTAGAGTTGGCAGAACCACTGTATCTACTCTTTCGATCCCTCGGCCGTATATGGGTGAGAAGTAACATTTAAACTTGAATGACATCTTCGTAACTAGTCGTTCTTCGACCGCACGTCTTGGCAATCAACAGTCGCTGGAGGTGTTGGATGAAAGTGGAGTTACTTAAGGTTCCTGTATTGTTCCCAACCTCTTCCTTATTTATTGCATAAGTGGATAAGACTACGACATCAGCATGTTTGTTGGTCACCTTAAACGTCAAAAGGTGATCCGCAAAGAATATGAAAAAGCAAGTATACAGGCAATCCTGCATCGAAGCGAGCAACAATCGAGCTACTAGCTCTAGCATTAACTGTTCTCGAATACAATATTATGCGCATCAGCAGAACCAGCACTGCGCACCGGAGGGTGTACTATTAGAATCACACGCCACTACCAGAAATGAAAAGCCAGAAGGATCTAGGGAATGTGGATCATGCCCCAACTTAAGCCATCGATCACCCTACGGCTTGAAGACAACCAAATCCATAATGTCAAGATGTACCTAAACAAGCCTAAGTCCAATGAAATGTGCTTCAGTAAGGTCTTTGGGATGTTAGTATTACTACAACTGCAAGTTGCATTCATGACTGAAGATCGCGGACTGTTTTGGACCGCAACACCCTTCAAAGCGTCCAATGACGCGCAGCCGAGCTACTGCAAGGCCAAGGCTGCCTTGATTACGAGCTACGATCGTCCAATCTTGACCTCTTTCTACAAGCATCTACAAGCATTTCACATGCTGCGAGGTAAGAATTGTTGATTCGCGTAAAGCGACTTCTGTGAACTGACCATTACCACTAGACTCCGAGGACATCCTCTCAAACTACGCATGACTGGAACAAGGATTAACACGCGAAATGTCGTTTTCTCAAACAGTGGGATTCAGGCATGGATTCAGACTTGACTTGACTTGACTACTTTGGTTGCGGACACTGTCGTGTTTCTAACTGGGAACATGTTTGACAAAATTGATCTGTAGGTCCCCTCTATATATCCATCACCCCGCCCAACTGCTTAAAGTATTTTGTGGTCAAACATATAACTCTCGGATAGTAAGCGTAAATAAATATGTAATTGTGGCGGAATTGATCAAAAAGTATTAAAATAAATAAGATTATGCTTGTTTTGATATGCTAAATAGAATCAAATTCAATCAACATAAATTTATCTTGTTTATTATACGAATGCTAATCGAGGGAAATTCGACCTTATGCGGGCGAAATTTAACGAAAACGGAAATTCGTCCTATTGGTGGAATTAAACGAAAAAAATTGAAAGTCAGGCTACCGAAGATTTGAAAGTAGTTTTTTATCATAAGTTTTTGGGCCCCTTCAATCAATTTTGCCAGAGCTTTTAGCTGAAATTTGACCCGAACAGTTCAACCGTCAACTTCGACGAGGTCCGCCATGTGCTCCAGAGTATGAGGGTGAAGGTATGCTTAAATAAGGCTAAATAATGGTAGACTTTCGCTGCATCTACCGCACTCTCTCTTGCCTCACTTACACGTACGGGCCTTTCTATATTGCTATGTTATTGTAACCGATATGGAGTTCAAGGGCGTTCAGCTACCTTTCCCATATAAACCTGAACTGATATAAACTGATGCTGACCTTGAAGCCGGTTGGACACCAGTCAACCAGTCCGATTAATCCCCGCTTCTTGATGGCATCAATGCTTGAATTTATTTCTTGGATGGGAATCTGGCCACGGTATAAAAGTGCCGTCGCCATCATCACAGTCTCTTTGGGATCTCCGACCATCATCTGGTTTATTGTGTTGAACGCACCGTTTGTTAGTTCTTGGATTGTTATAGCTGCAGCAGAAAGAGAAGAGAATATTGTCTCCAGAGTCGCACGCGTTCTCCGCAGCTTATTGACACTTTTACAGAAGAAGGTTCTGGTATCAATCGACTTACCTTCGTGAATAGTTTGGTCATGAGTAAACATCGGATTCAGAGAAGCCTGTAGGAAGTGAAGTCGTGGATAGGGGACGAGGTTGGTTTGCAGTTGCGGCAGCGAGGCCGTCAAAGGACCATCGAAACACAAAGGCGCCAGAATCCCACTGCATGCCTTAATGCACATAATATTCATGAATTAAGTACTGCCTACCCAGCAAGAAGTCAGTAGGCATTATATT